GCAACGGGCCATCACGTCAAGGGCATCGTTGGGGTGGCCTGGGGTGGAGATGTACAGCTGAGTGTCATCAGCGTACTGATGGAAATCCACCCCGAAGCCACGAATGATCTCCCCCAGCGGCTTTACATAAATATTGAACAAAAGGGGAGAGAGGACCGACCCCTGAGGCACCCCACAAGTTAGGGGTCTAGGAGTCGACGTCTGTCCCCCTGCCAATACAGACTGCGTACGGTCGGTGAGGAAGGAGGAGAACCACCGCTTAACGGTGCCTCCCACTCCTAACTCACCGAGACGCCGCAGCATGATACCGTGGTCTACGGTATCAAAAGCCGCTGAGAGGTCCAAAAGAACAAGGACAGAGGAATATCCTCTGTCCCGGGCCCTCCAGAGATCATTAACCGCCGAGCCGAACCTCCTTCCGGTGGGGGAGGTTCGGCTCGGCGGAGTGGACACGCCGGTTGCTCAGGGACCAACAGAGACCGGTGAAAGACCGGATGTACCCGTAGGGAATGTGGCAGAGTTAAGCGATAGGCGACCGGATTGATGACAGCCTTGATTGGGAACGGTCCTAAATATCGGTGGTCTAACTTCTTGGCTGGCCGGGTTGACGGTAGGTTCCTGGTGGACAGCCATACCTGATTTCCCACCGTTAGTGGAGGCGTATCCCGCCTCGACCGATCAGCAAACCTTTTGTAGTCAGCCTTGGCCTTCTCTAACTGTCGCTGCACCAATCAATGGATCGCCTGTAACTCTGCCATGTAGTCGTTCGCTGCTGGTACTGGTGAGTCTAGCGGGGAAATAGAGAAAAACCGGGGGTGATATCCCACATTGGCCAAGAACGGTGTCATCTGCGTGGAGGTGTGCTGCGAGTTGTTGAACGCGAACTCAGTAACCGCCAGATAGTCCACCCAATTGTTCTGCTGCTGATTGACATAGCAGCGCAGATATTGCTCCAGGATCCCGATGACCTTCTCGGTCCGTCAGTTTGGGGATGATGTGCGGACGAGAGGCAGATCTTGACATCCAACGCCTGCATCAACCCCTGCCAGAAACAGGCTGTAAATTGGACCCCTCTATCGGACACGACCCTATCAGGGAGGCCGTGCAGCCGGAACACCTGCTGGATGAACATACAACAGGTGGCGCGGGCGGACGGCAAGCCACGGCATGGGATGAAATGCGCCATCTTGGTCAGCATGTCCACCACCACGAACACCGTCGTGAATCCAGAAGACGGGGATACGTCCATCAGGAAGTCCATGGAAACAGCCCCCCAGGGTCTTTTGGGTGTCGGCAAGGGCTGCAGTAGTCCGGGCGGGGCAGTTGCTGACTTGGCCTGCCTACATGGGATACAGGATGTGACGTAGGCCTGGACATCGTGTTGGACCCAGGGCCACCAGATGGTACGGGAGACCAAGTTCAGGGTCTTGAACAGGCCAAAATGCCCTGCCGCCGGATTGTCGTGACACTGGCTGAGGATGAGTCCCCTGAGCGGCCCTCCCGGAACATAGAGCCGGTCACGATAGTGGAGGAGTCCATCCGTGACTGTCCATGGGGAATTGGGCCCCACCTCCTCCTTTCGCTGAGCCACCCACACATCCTGCTGCTGGGCCTCCCAAATCCGAGCCCATACATCTATCGGCTCCCACACCGCAGCAAAATACTCGATAGGGAGCACTGTCCCGGGCAGAAGCTTGTCTTCTGCTTGGGAATATTCGGGCTTTCTGGATAGAGCATCCGCTCTTTGGTTGTGACCGCTGGGTATGTACGTTACACGGAAATTGAACCTTGCAAAGAAGAGAGACCACCGAATCTGGCATTGGTTCAATTTCTGAGCAGTCTGCAGGCTTTCCAAATTCTTATGGTCCGTCCGGACCTCGATTTGATGCCGCGCCCCTTCCAGATGATGCCTCCAGGCCTTGAATGCCACTTTAATGGCCAGTAGCTCCTTCTCCCAGATGGTATAGTTGCACTCCGCTGGATTCAGTTTCCGCTAGTACGCGCAAGGGAAGAGGGCACCGCCTGGCATCGTCGCCTGGAGTAACACCGCCCCAATGGCAATGTCGGAGGCATCCGCCTCCACGACAAATGGCCGTTGTGGGTCAGGATGCTTCAAGATGCTTCATGAAGGCTTCCTTCAAAGCCTGGAAAGCCCATTGTTCTGGAGCGTCCCACTGAAACCGAGTCTTTTTCTGCAGGAGCCGAGTAAGGGGGGCTGTCATGGTAGCAAACCCGGGGATGAAAGCCCGATAGTAGTTGGCGAACCCAAGAAGTCGCTGGACATCCTTCACACGATATGGGGGTTGCCAACTCTGCAGAGACTCGACCTTACTCGGCTCCATGGCAATGCCCTCAGGAGAAATGCAGTGACCCAGGAAATCGATGGTCATCTGGTAGAACTGGCACTTCTCCAGTTTGGCGTACAGCCAATGTTCTCGGAGCCGCTCCAGGACCTGACGGAGATGCTGATGGTGCACCTCTCGCGACGGGGAGTAGATCAGGATGTCATCCAAGTAGATCACGACAAACTGATCTAACAAGTCCCGGAAAATGTCATTCATAAAATGCTGCAACACTGCGGGGGCGTTGGTCAGGCCAAACGGCATCACCGTGTACTCGAAGTGCCCGTACCGAGTACCAAACGCCGTCTTCCACTCATCACCCGACCAAACTCTGACAAGGTTATAAGCTCCACGCAAGTCCAGTTTTGTGAAGATCTTTGCCTCCCGGAGCCGGTCCAAGAGTTCGGGGATGAGGGGCAGCGGGTATCGATTGCGCACCGTGATGGCGTTTAATTTCCTGTAATCACAGCAAAGCCACAATTCGCCAGACCTCTTCTTGACAAAGAGCACGGGTGCAGACACTGGCGAGGATGAGGGCCGAATAAAACCCCGAGCCAAATTCTTGTCCAGAAAGTCCTGCAACGCGGCCAACTCGGGGTCCGACATGGAATACAAACGCCCCACTGGAAGAGGCGCGTCAGGGACTAAATCAATGGGGCAGTCATAGGGCCTGTGCGGGGGCAATTGATCCGCCTCAGTCTCGCTGAACACATCAGCGTAATCCGCCAGTTCGGAGGGTAAGGAGACCACCATGGGACCCTCTACCTGGCCGGCACAGATTTGGCGGGTGTGGTCCATGCACTGTAAGCTTGGGAAGGTGACCAAGTTCTGTGACCAATAAATCTGTGGGTCATGCGTCCGGAGCCACGCCAATCCCAAGACCACGGGGAAATGCAGGTCTGATGTGATATAGAACTGGATGGCCTCCTCATGTGAACTGATGGTCATACATAGCGGTTGCGTGGCGGCCTTAATTGGCCCAGACAGGAGCACTCGACCATCAATGGTCTCCACTAACATTGGCAGTTCCACCGGGCATTGGGAACCGCCCATTTGGCCACAAATGCTGCATCCATAAAGTTTGTAGTGGCCCCAGAGTCAATCAACGCATGGACGGGAATTCCCTTGGGCAACGCGGGGAGAATCAGGCGCGCCTCCAATATCAGATGCCGTGGAGGTCCGTGGGCAGCATCTGAAGGGCGTCGCTCGGTGTTGCGGGATGCCCGATCCAAAATACCCTTCAGGTCGGGCTCGGGCCGTTTCCCGACAGAGGAGCAGGTGGCTTTCTCGGGGCAGGCTCAGTCACAAACGCCCTTTGTCACTTCTTGGGGCAGAAAGCAGCCAAATGCCCAGGGTCCCCACAGTAAAAACACAACCCCCCAAACGTCGCCTGTTCATCTCTGCCAACAATAGGCGAGGTCTGGCAGCACCTAACTCCATTGGCTCCTCCCTCTGGACCGGGGTCTCACGCACAATGGGGGTCGCAAAGGTCTCTGGGGTGGCACGTTGACTCCTTCGCTGCTGCAGCTGAGCATCGATCCGCAGACAGAGATGGATGAGCCTGTTGAGGTCCGGGGGAACATCAGCACGGGCCAGCTCATCCAACATCTCCTCCAACAATCCATCCTGGAAAGCGTCCACGAGCGCAGCCTCATTCCAGGCTGAATCCTGGCTAAGCAGCCGAAATTCGCTGATATAGCCCTGTAGGGGGCATCGGCCCTGCCTCAGAGCTTTCAAACGTCGGGTAGCAGTCTGTGTCTTGATGGGGTCCTCGTACATCATCCGCATGTAATCACAAAACCCCACAAAGTTGTCCAACAATGGACTAGGTTGGGCTAGCAAGGGTGTGCCCCAACGAGGTGCAGCACCAGAGAGGAGGCTTATCATGAACCCCACTTTATCCCGGTCAGTGGGGAAATCAGCCACTCTCATGCTGATAAACAGATGGCATTGTCCCAGGAAAACAGGAAACATGTCCGGATTGGCATCAAATTTGTCTGGCATCACAACTTGGCATTTTCTCCTGGGTGGTGGAGCAGCAGGGACGTGTGCTTGGAGCTGAGCCACTTGGGCTGATAACAAAGCCAGCTGCTGGGAGAGCTGGGCATTCTCAGCACGTAGCTGCTCCATAATAGTAGGGGGTGGGTGGCTGAAGGCAAACTGTTCTGTCCCAGCCTACGTCCGTCCTTGTTGCGTCACAAGAACAAACCCCTCTTTAACAGTAGGCTGGAAAAACCAACCCCTTTTTATTTCAAAAACAGTCCTGATAAGTTTTCTCCAAAACAAAAACAACAGAATACTTTTCCAACAGATAATTGGTTAAAAAAGCAAACAGAGCAGGAGTTAAACAAGAAATTCATCGGTAAAACAAACAGACCATGATCCCTGGAAGTTCTTTACAAACGGTTGCCTTCAGCAACCAGCACCGCCCACACATTCCCCTTTTGTAATTCAGTCCTCAAGGCGTGGCTTCTCAGTGCCTTCTCCGGAGTCGTCCCATTGCCTCTTTCTGGTTTACTCTCCTAGCTTGTCTTCGTTTGTGGGCGTCTCTCATTTCTGCCAGCTGTGCATCCTCCGAGTCCGACCCAGCTTTCCCACCCAGCTGCATCTCATCCTGAACATGAGCGGAAGGGCCAGGCTCCTCACTGGAATGTGAGTCTTGGGGCTCATCAGAGCCTTCCCCCGACTCCAATGGCTCCCCAGGCCCCTCCTCCTCCTCCTCCTCCTCCTCAGATTCCCTGGACTCAGCTGTTGGGAACACAGGCTGGCACGGAATCACAACACTACCTGTATCATCTTCTAAAACTGTTCCTCACCTGCAGGGTCCCAACAGAGGTAGCTGTGCCAGCAAGGAGCCTCCACGGCACTGGAGTTCCAGTAAACGAGGCTCTGAAAGCAATTTCTGCATAGTTTCCTGGTGCAAGGTGATTTGAGTTGACAGTTCCTGCAAACATGAAACGCTACAGATGACAACAGAGCAAAGGTGATAGGCAGGGCCAACAAAATGAGAAAAGTCCCACAAAGACTGACATGGATAGCAAGTACTTTAGTATGCCGTGAAAAATTAACAACAAGCCTCCTACCACTACAAAAGAAGCCCACTGAGCCTCTGAACATTCTATGCTTTAAAGATCAATGCATTTGCTATAGTTTTATTATTTAGCTTGTTTCTTTTGGTCACAGGGAACAACGGAAGTCTATTCAAATTCCACTTGGAAAACTATTTCCGATGAATGACCTAGTTCTTATGAATAACAAGCTTATTTTTCACTGAGATGGTAAACATTAGTTGGCTTATACCACTTCTAACTGAAAATTTGGCTCTTAGTACTGACTGCCTCTTCACTCTAAATAAAAATAGTCCTTCCTTTAAGAAAACTGGAAGACTAGAATTTTATACGCCAGACATCTTTATCTTATTATGTTTCTGGGAAGAATGTACCGCAAGATTCTAAACCATGAAAGCCAGTCTGGTGAATTTGGGCCAGTCATCTCTCAGTCCAACCCAACTCACAGCGTTGTTGTGGGGAAAATAGGAATAGAAAGTTGTATTGGATATGTTTGCTACCTTGAGTTATTTGTAAAAATAATAAAGGTGGGATACAATAAATAAATGCATGAATAAATAAATCTTGTGGTCTAAAGTAGTACAGCCCAGCCACTCTCTTACTACTTCTGTGAGAACTGTTTTGATCTTATGAATGTGGAAATATATTGGTGAAGCTCTATAGGGACTAGCTGCAGAAGTTCTTAGAAATATTTTTTCTGGTGGGGTGAGATGGAGCTTCTCTGAGTCATCAGATTTTTATTGGGATTCAATGCAGAATAAGTGAAGTATGTGCAAGATTATTAGGAAAGATTCCAATTATCTGCTCTGTCCAGTTTCAGATGCTCATTGCAACTAACATGTGAGTAATCAGGCTGATAAGACTTGACAATCTAATACAAGTCTACTAACTGCAACACAGACAGTATATCATTTACCAGTCTGATAAGAAGAGGAACGGAATAATGGATAAAGTGGGAAGAAGGGGAAAAGAAAAGAAAGTATTAGAAGGATGAAGTGAGCAAAAAGGTGTTCTCTAAAGCACTGGTCCCCAACCCCTGGGCCGCAGACCAGTACCGGTCCATGGCCTGTTAGGAACTGGGCCATTCAAGCAGCAGGTGAGTGAGCAAAGCTTCATCAGCTCATGTGCAGGATTTAGGTTGCATGTGAAACCATCCCCGCACTGCCCCCTCCGTCTGTGGAAAAACTGTCTTTCATGAAACTGGTCCCCGGTGCCAGAAAGGTTAGGGACCGCTGCTCTAAGGAGTATATGTGCAAGACCCAAGAGCAGTTTTCCTAGGACCTCATACCTGGCAGTACCATTGAACGTAAATGATTTACAATAGGCTCCAGTACAATTTTGTTCAGAAATGAGGTCCACTATGTTCAGCATGATTTGCTTTAAGGCAGAGTCCCCAACCTTTTGGGCACCAGGGACCGGTTCCGTGGAGAGAGGTTTTTCCGCAGACCGAGGATGCGTGGTTTTATGTGCTGCCTGCATCCTGTGGATGGGGCTTTGCTTGTTTGTGCGGACCAGTTGCTGGCATGCTGCGGCCCGGTACTGGTCCACAGACCAGGGGTTGGGGACCCCTGCTTTAAGGTAATATGTATCCATTTGCAAGCCCAAGAATGTATGATTTATTTATGAATTTATGAGAGCAAACCCTACTCGCACTGCTGCTGTTACCTTGTTTGGTAATGAAACAGAAAGAAGACCCAAGCTCAGAGAGCACCAAGGACCCCACAGCTCAACCTCTTCTATTGGTACTTATCATAAAGTCATAAGTAGATACATGTATACATTCAGAAATCCATTATTGTGTATCATTAAAATGAGTATTTGTGCTGTTTCTCATTTTCCATATACTTTGCCTACTTTTAGTGAAAAACACAGCCTTCCACAAATACGTATACTGCCAATTTGAAATGATAATCCAAAATCCGGCTAAAATGTCTTTTCTTAAAAATCAACTATTCAGATACTTAATTATTGTGTCACTGTAAAGAGAATTAAAACAATCTTCCACTACACATTTTCATACAGTATAATGGAGACGAAAACCGAAGAATTCAGCTTAGGCCGCTTCTAAAGGTGTCCATGACCACAAAATCTCTGAAATCTCATACCATTTGGAGCAACATTTTGGAAAATATTAGTGGGCTCATATGAGATGTGAAAATTGCTGAGGATTGATTTAATGATATTTCAGTAAATTTTAAAATAGTATTGTTTTCTTTGAATTTCCTGGTATCCCATAAGCTATTTAGAGTGTTGGTAAATATCCTGGTGCTGGGAGGTGTTCTTTGCCCATTTTTTAAATGCATATAAGTTCAGAGCCTTCAACTGACTCAGTCCTCTAGCCAGCGGCCCCCAACCTTTTGGGCACCAGGGACCGGTTCCATGGAGAGAGGTTTTTCCACAGACCAGAGGGGGTGTGGTTTTGCATATTGCCTGCATTCCGCAGACGGGGCTTTGCTTGTTTGCACGGACCAGTTTCTGGCATGCCACGGACCGGTACCAGTCCTTGGACTGGGGGTTGGGGACCCCTGCTCTAGCCCTTACTTTCACTATTAGTGTCTAATGAACTCCCTCAACTGGGGGATTAATCAGAGACAGAAGCAGGAGTGAAAATGTTTATCCCATGATGACCAATGCTGCAACTCTACTCCAAGTACTAGCAAGAGGAAAGGGTACTTCTCACTGCATAATTCAATCGCATAACCTCATAACTTTTATATACCGTATTTTCTGGCGTATAAGACGACTTTCTAAGCCCTGAAAATCTTCTCAAAAGTCGGGGGTCGTCTTATACGCCCAGTCGTCTTATACGCCAGAAAATACGGTAAATGCAATCAACAAAGACCGCTTATAATGCACATTTTAGCTTTAGCGAATGGGATATAAATCAGCTTTTAAACCGTCCTGCTAGTTCAAAAGATTCATAATGAAAAGTTATGAAACTGAACCCAAATTAAAATCTCTCTCAAAGAAAATGAAGAGGGTTTCAGGAAACGCGGACCCACTGAAGGAACTTGCATAGAGTTTCCCCAATTGGGAGGGACTCTCCCAGTTGCTAAAAAGAACTTGTGAACGGACGAATTCCTCCGGGGGAAGACTGAGCAACCAGGCAAAACGAGCGCCTCGCTTCTCAGCGCCTTTCGGGCAGCGGGCAGGCGGGCAGAAAAGAGGCCTTGCTGCGGCTTCTGGGGCTGCGCGGGGTGGGGCAAGAGGTTTCAAAGTGTAACAGAGATCAGATCCCATCCGCATTTGCACTGGGGGGGGGCGTGCCGGGGAGGAACCCTGCGGGGAAGTCTGAAGAAGCAATAGCAGACGTATCCGAATAAAGTGACCTGGGAGTTCTTGAAGGCAGACAAAACAGTGAAAATCGAAATTAGGGCGCGTGGCAACG